TCAATTTCGACACATTTTAGTACGTCGGTACACTATCGATAACAATTTGATACCATTTTTTTATTTCAACAACTTATGGAGCGTGAGAATTCTAATAAATGCTGTCGGGTTGATTTTCTACTTCTTGTTTAATAGTTACGACCTTGAGCCTTAAAAATCTCTTTTCTAAGTTCTCTAATAGATTGAGAGGTTACGAAGAGGATTAAGTTAGTTTAGGTGAAAATGTTAGAGATGTTGTAAGTAGCGATAAAATGCTACATATAGGGTTACGAGACTAACCAGATGTCGCTGTCAGTCTTGAAACAACTAGAAAATGGAGAAGCTAGACCTACAACATAACTTCGTAATTGATGGACGTATCCATAGCTCGACCATCTTGATTTAAACTTTTAAAAAGTATATAAGTGAAAGTAAAGCAATGATAGGCATCTTTCAAATTTCTGCTTTCACAAGCAATCCATTTGTTTTCAAGAAAGGTAAAAGGGTTCATCTCAAGATGTTTCTTTTGTAACCAAGACTATACATTTGTTCAATAATTCAGCACAAAAGCTCTTTTTTAAGTTTAAAATAAGTTATTTATTTATTAAAGCTTTAAAATTTACAATAATATGTTAATAATTTATTTAAAAAATAGGCTCTAACTCGAGTAGCATGGGTCACGTGGAATCCCATGTGAATCAGCAAGAACCACCTTGCAAGGCTAAATACTTCTGGGTGACCTACTGTGAAGTAGTACTATGAGGGAAGGATGAAAAGAACCCCATCGGGGAGTGAAATAGAACATGAAACTGTAAGCTTCCAAGCAGTGGGAGGAGACCAAGACTCTGACCGCATACCTGTTGAAGAATGAGCCGACGACTCATAGGCAGTGGTTTGGTTAAGGGAACCCACCAGAGCCATAGCGAAAGCGAGTCTTCATGGGGCAATTGCCACTGCTTATGATCCTGAATCTGGGTGATATATCCATGACCAAGATGAAGGTTGGGTGAAACCAAGTGGAGGTCCGAACCGACTGATAGTGAAGAATGAGCTGATGAATTGGGGTTAGGGGTGAAATGCCCCTTTAAAAATCTTTAAAAAATACCTTTGAACTTTTAAATAACAGATCCATTAGTACAATTAAAATTGAAGAATGATATTCTAACAGATTAATCTCACCGTTAGTAGATATTCTCGAATCGTATTACTCTCAGTCTCACGGTTTTAAAATCTATATGTTAAGGAGAGATTTCTACACACGTATAAAAATGTGTTTCATTCCGAACAAATGATACATTTTTTTTAATTAATTTAAAGATATTTTTTAAAAATAAAATAGAAAGTTTTAAATATTTTTATTAATTTAGCCATTAATTAATTAATTAATTGTTGATTGCGCCGACACCAAACTTGTCCATCCTCTCTTCAAACATTGCATAAAAAGCCCCTTTGGGTCCTTCCTCTTCACCGCCACAACACCAAAATAATCATGAATACCCTCTTCTCTCTCATCATCTTCCTCCTCCTCCTCCTCCGCCGCTGTTCCGGCCAGTCGCCGGCCGAAGCTCCGGGGCCGCCGCCGCCCATGAACATCACAAAAATACTTGAAAAGGCTGGCCAGTTCACTGTCCTCATAAGGCTGCTGAAGAGCACTCAAGTGGCTAACCAAATCAATACTCAGCTCAATGACTCCAATTCTGAGCTCACCCTTTTCGCCCCAACTGATAATGCCTTCTCCACCCTCCAATCGGGTATTACTATCACAAAAACGCTCACTTTTAATAATGTTTGTGTCTTTCGTTAGCTATCGTATTCACTATTTCTTGTAAAAAACAGGGACGCTCAATTCCTTGAGCGACCAAGAAAAGGTTGAGCTTCTCCAATTCCACATGATCCCGAATTTCCTATCGCTCTCGAACTTCCAAACGGTTAGCAATCCGGTGATAACTCAAGCGGGCGACGCTTACGAGTTTCCTCTCAATGTCACCACCTCTGGCAACTCCGTCAACGTCTCCACCGGCCTCGTCAATACCTCCATCTCCGGTACTGTCTACACCGACAACCAACTCGCCATCTACCAGGTTGACTCCGTCCTCAAACCGATCGGCATCTTCCAGCCCCGTCCCCCGCCTCCAGCTCCAGCACCGGATAACTCCAAGGAAAAGGCCAAGGCCATTTCCGAGAGCCCCAAGGATTCTGCCGATGACAACTCTGCCGCCGTGGCTCTCACCAGAATGTCGGTGGTCTCGGCTGTCGCTGCCGCCGGAATGTTGGTGTGGATTAGTTCTTGATTGAATTTGCTGGGTGTTGTTTGGTGTGGATAAATTAATATTGATTTGTGTTGTTGTTTTGATTTAGGGTATTTTCTGTTTTTTGTTCTTTTTAAGGTTTGTGTTAAATTTATTTGAAGAGAATTATTAAAATAAATGTATGATAATTTTTATATTAAAAGATTTGTTAATAGAATTATTAATTGGGTTATGTGTTGAAATATCAATAATGAATAATATTGAAAGCTTAACAACCAAATGCATGTGTTCAAACATTGTTTTGAAATGACAAGATTTTGAAAGCTAAACTAATAATAATCATCGATTAAAAACATGAACATGTTCATGTTTCACTATCAGAATTATCGCATTTTGCCTTCAAATTTTCAGCTGGATCGATCCCGTCATTTTGTCCAAATGGTATGATAAAGACGATATTATCATGAGTAGTGTGTTCTATGAAGTTGTATAGTTAATACCAATGATATGAATGGTATGATGTAAGAAGTGGGAAGATGAATGTCAAGAACGACTTTGTGCTACTAACAATAACCTAATTTTTTATATTCAGAATTTAGATTTGATACTATATTTTACAGCATTCTCACGACATGACCACATTAAGATTCAGGTTGGGATTTAAAATTTGAATTCAGCATCTGACATTCCCCTACAACCCTCCGCTACATGATCATACCACTTATTGATCATATCTTTTAACTTGTTTAAATAATTTTGAAATTCTTATAATTGAGCCATAAAAATGAATCATGGATTTGTGTCGATACCTTGGCGGCACACTTGTCGCCTCCTCCAGAGGCCAAGTTACGCCAGAAACGTCCATCGAAAAGCGAAGCAAACGATGGCGACGGCTTACGTTGGTGTTGGGTTTCCAGTGAGAAAGGCTGAAACTTCAAAGATAGTAATTAAGTCAACTAACAGAGAAAGAGAAGGAAGACCAAAAATAATGTGAATGAGAATAATGATATGGCCTACGTAAAGAACAAATCTAAACCCTTTTATAGATAGACAAAAAGGAAGACTTTGACTTTTTAGTGAGTAAACTCGACACAATTTCTAACCATATTTTAAATTTTTGTTTTTATTTTATTGTATTCCATTTTTTCAAATACTCCAACTTTGCTTTAATCAGGACCGTAGATCTAAAACCCATTATTATTATTATTATTATTATTATTATTATTTCTTTTATATTTACATGAGTAACAAATATTTGTTTTTGACCAACCTATCTTTTTACTAACCAAAATTTGAACCTATTTTTTTTATTACTAATATTAAAAAAAAAACATTTTCTTGACTTAGTCTCCCCATTATTTTTTAAAATATTGTATCATTTTATATTACCATAAAAATTAAAGAAGGGATGTAATTAGTTGAATTTTGGAAATAAAACTTATTTTTTAATAATTGATTTTTTTTTTTTTAAATAAATATTTGAATTCGTTTATCTCATTGATTTCAATTGGATAAGGAAAACAGACTAACTAAGGATACCATGGTCGGGAGGCATGCGAGAGACGTGCCCTTTGACACGAAGAGGCCACCTTATCTTTGGCCTCATGATGAGACTAAGGTTTAGACCATATCCTTTCCTCCTTGAGACTCAATGGAGTCGTGGGTATCTCGATAATTTTCATTTTTCTAGCTCGGGCCAAAATTCGTATTTCTTTCCTTTTATACTTTGTCTCTTATCTCAAATCTTATCCATAGCATTTAGCTTTTGACTTGTTGGAAGTTAGGAACTCCAATAATGTTCAAATAATTGACTTTTGAAATTAATTTATATAAAATTTCTACCAAGAGTAAGCAAACATTTTTTAATAAATTTATAGACCAAAAACCAAAACAAAAAAAATCATTATTTATTAGTGAATTAATAATAGTATTAATGATATTTTTCCCTCATTAATATTTCTCTATAATATAATGGTCCCATGACAAAAAAAAAAAAAAACGAATGCATTTAAGGAATTTGCTCAAGTTGATGAAGAGATAAATATAATCAAAACACTCTAAAAAAATATTTAACTCGATCTGGTTTGGGTTAAAAAAGAATGATTGGGTCATCCCGACCCAACCTGAAAAACATTAAAATAAAAGAGAAATTTTTTGAGAAATTTGATATATTTTTAAATGACTCAATCATAAAAAATTTAAAATTAAATCAGTTATAATTAAATTAATGATGTAAGGTATTTGTTATAAATTATGGATTAAACCCTAATTATTCTTATTTTATTCTTTTTACTTTTTCAATTTTATATTTAAATTTCCTTAAAATACTTCTAATTTGATTTTCTTAATTTTAAAAGTTAGGAACTAAATAATATTAAAATTTAAAATTGGAAGATTAAATTATATTTTTCCTTTATATAACTGATTTATTAAATTAAAATTAAAATTAAAATTTTGTAGGTAGCATATGAATTTAAAAAATGTCTTAATAAGAACAATAATACACAAATTTGAAATTTTAAAATATATTAAATGAAAAAATTAAGACTTCTCAAAATTAAAAAAATTATTTTCATTTAAAAATTTATTAATCATACCTTTATATATAAAAATTAAAAAAGGTAAGGTTAAACCTGTAATTTAACTTCCGACAGCTTCCGTTCAAGGAAAATAATTGATAATAAATAAAAAGGAATACCAAAAATAAAATTGGTAGAACTATAAATAAAGAGTAGTTCATATGAAACGGCATCAAAGTAGTATTGTTGCTAAACTACACGCAGCCTCAGACAAAACCTCCACCAAGTAGTATAGGTGCAGCTGAGCGAACGAAAACAGAGCCTTCCTTTCAAAGGCTCCAATCGCCCCCAAAAGTCTTGCTCTACAGATTTGGTTTACATTTCAATTTGTTAACACATTCATTATCAATATTAGATCATCTCCTTCTCAGGTTTAGACAATCAAGATCCTCTCCTTCTTCTTTGGGTTCTTTGATTTTTATATTTTGATTTTGCGCCAGTGGTCGTTTTAATGGCCGCCGCTGCCGTGGATCCTTCGTCGCTGCAATTCACGCCGACTTGGGCCGTTGCTGCCGTCTGCTTCATCTTCATCTCTCTCTCTCTGTTCCTTGAGCATTTGATTCATCTCCTCTCCAATGTAAGTGTAAACCTAATTTTCAATTGAACTTGAGAGGAGAAAAGGAGAAAAGGAGAAAAGGAGAAATCGATCTCAGAGGAGCGTTTGATTTGAAATTTGATTCGGTTTGATTTTGATTTTGATTTTGATTTTGGCGCAGTGGCTGAAACGGAAGAGGAAAACGGCATTGTTCGATGCGGTTGAGAAGCTAAAATCAGGTACGGTTTCCATTTCTGAAATCGAATGTAATTAAATGGAATTTGGATGAACGATTAACGATTTCACTATCGGACCAGTTCTGATGCTGCTAGGGTTCATGTCGCTAACACTGACGGTAACGCAACAGCCGGTATCGAAGATTTGTATTCCGAATAGCTTAGCGTATACGATGCTTCCATGCCAGAGAGAAATACAGATCAAAGCAGATAAGAATTTGGAGATGGAACAATCGCGATCAGCCTCCTCTGCAAATCGGTCGTTTTCATGGATGATGGAAAAATTCGTGAGCCTCGCGGCGGAAAGTGACGATAGTGGTGGTGGTGATGATTCTTCTTCTCCATCATCTTCTTCATCATCTTCTTCATCTTCGGATTACTGTACTGCGAAGGTACTGGCTGAGTCAAAGATGAGTCGAGTTTGATCGAGTTCGAACTCAATTGAAGAATTGGAGTAAAAAAAAGTGAAATTAAAGTTCTGTTGTTTAAATTAATGATCAATTGATTATGAATTGCGTTGGCAGGGGAAGACCTCGCTGATATCGCAAGCAGGAATGAATCAACTGAACAACTTCATATTCGTGCTGGCTGTTATGCAGATTGTTTACAGTGTCCTCACCATGGCTTTGGGAAAGGCCAAGGTCTTCTCTATCTCTCTTATTATTATTATTTTCTCCTTCCTATTAATTCCTATTATTTTTAAAAATTAAATTATATAAATATATATTGAGTAAATATTTTAAATAATACGTTATTCGGTAGATGAAAAGGCAAAACATGTGTACATTAAATAAATGATATTGATGCTAAGTTTTATGCTAGATAATTAATAAAAATTAATGATTTTAAAACTACAAAAAATGGGAAAGCGGGAGTAAAATAAGATATAAATATAATATAATTTTTTTTAAAAGTTTTATTTGAGATGGTTACGTTATTGTATTAATAAAATAGAAATTCTAATTCTAAAACAATTTAAAATTTCTATGGTCGAGAATACGTTGCGCGTTAAAATTAGTTTATATAAATATTTATTAGAGGGCAAACAAACAAAGTTTTTTATTTCAAAAAATAATAAATAAAGAAAAAGACTTCGTAGGTTTGTTGTTGACTTTCTCTGAGGCATCATTTAATTGTTAGACTACAAAATTCTGGAATGCTTTAAAACGGCAGCTACGGTTGTCGTTTTCATGGCTCAAGAAATTTGGCTGTCGTTATCATAAGTCAAATATTATTATTTTTGTTGGATGATGAAAGTCTCACATCGGCTAATTTAGGGAATGGTCATGGGTTTATAATTTAAGAATACACTCTTCATTGGATTGAGGCCTTTTGGGAAGCCCAAAGCAAAACCATGAGAGCTTATGCTCAAAGTGGACAATATCATACCATTGTGGAGAGTCGTGTTCGTCTAACATGGTATCAGAGTCATGCCCTAAACTTAGCCGTGTCAATAGATTGACAAATCCTTAAATGTCGAACAAAGGACTCCAGAAGGAGTCAAGCCTCCTCGAAGGTACGAAGGCAGTCAAAAATGACTAAGACTCCAAAGGAGTCGAGCCTCGATTAAGGGGAGGCGTGCTTTGTTCGAGAGGAGGTGTTGGATGATGAAAGTCCCACATCGGTTAATTTAGGGAATGGTCATGGGTTTATAATCTAAGAATAAGAATACACTCTCCATTGGTCTGAGGCCTTTTGGGAAGCCCAAAGCAAAGCCATGAGAGCTTATGCTCAAAGTGGACAATATCATACCATTGTGGAGAGTCGTGTTCGTTTAACATGGTATCAGAGTCATGCCCTAAACTTAGCCGTGTCAATAGATTGGCAAATCCTTAAATGTCGAACAAAGAACTCCAAAAGGAGTCAAGCCTCCTCGAAGGTACGAAGGCAGTCAAAAATGACTAAGACTCCAAAGGAGTCGAGCCTCGATTAAGGGGATGCGTGCTTTGTTCGAGGGGAGGTGTTGGATGATGAAAGTCTCACATCGGTTGGGTTTATAATGTAAGAATACATTCTCCATTGGTATGAGGCCTTTTGGGAAGCCCAAAGCAAAGCCATGAGAGCTTATGCTCAAAGTGGACAATATCATACCATTGTGGAGAGTCGTGTTCGTTTAACATGGTATCAGAGTCATGCCCTAAACTTAGCCGTGTCAATAGATTGGCAAATCCTTAAATGTCGAACAAAGAACTCCAAAAGGAGTCAAGCCTCCTCGAAGGTACGAAGGCAGTCAAAAATGACTAAGACTCCAAAGGAGTCGAGCCTCGATTAAGGGGATGCGTGCTTTGTTCGAGGGGAGGTGTTGGATGATGAAAGTCTCACATCGGCTAATTTAGGGAATGGTCATGAGTTTATAATTTAAGAATACACTCTTCATTGGAATGAGGCCTTTTGGGAAGCCCAAAGCAAAACCATGAGAGTTTATGCTCAAAGTGGACAATATCATACCATTGTGGAGAGTCGTGTTCGTCTAACAATTTTTAGTTTAATTTATATTAAATTTGGACCTAATAATATTAAATAATAAATTAAGGGTGTTTTTTTTTTAATGCTTATTTACAATATTTTTTATGGATTTTGAAACACTTAATTAAATTAAACATTTTTTTCTTTATTTTTGAATGAAATTTAAACAGATGAGGCGTTGGAAAGCTTGGGAGGAAGAAACTCATACCTTGGATTATCAAGTGGCCAATGGTAATTGAAATAATTTAATTATATTTATGGTGGAAGTCATTAATCTACTGCATTATTTACTTTGTTACTGTGATAATTTAGTTCCAGTTCTTTATTTATTTCCATAATCATACCAAATTAGTCTCCAATATTAATTGTCTAGTTAAGTAACGTTGGGAAATTAATATGGTATCATATACATGGTGCTACTTTTTGACTTTCATAAATAGACCATGAGTTAAATAATTAATATATTTATAGGATTAACTAGACTTCTATAAAAGTAAATGAAGAAAATGATTGGAAGTAAAAATAAATGTCTTTTTTTAGTTAGACTTTTAGTTAGCTTAGAGTTGTAAAGAAATTTTAAAAAATAAATGTTTACTATGCAAATTGATATACCCAATAAGTTGTATATTAAATGCAGTTCATAAACTTTTATGGGTTAATTTTGATTTTTTTCGATTATTAGATCCAAATCGTTTTAGATTCACAAGGCAAACAACGTTTGGACGACGACATATTAGTTCTTGTGCATCACCACCGTTACTTCTTTGGACGGTAAGTTTTTTACTTTTTATTTTTATTTTTATTTTATTTTCATATTTGTTTATTAGTAATTTCAATTCGGTCTCTATAGCCTTAAATGTTATATATAAATTATTAAAAGAAAATTTGCTGCAATTAATGTGTTTTGCAGAAATGTTTCTTTAGACAATTCTTTCGTTCTATTGCCAAAGTTGACTACTTAACCCTTCGTCATGGTTTCGTATGGGTCAGTACAATTTCTTTATATTTGGATTTCGTTTTTCATTTTCTATTTAGTGTAAAAACAATTTATTGTTTTCATTTTGAACAGACTCACATACGTGGAAACACTTCTTTTAACTTCCAAAAGTACATTGAAAGATCGTTGCATGATGACTTCAAAGTCGTCGTTGGCATGAGGTTTGTAATCTTTACACGCTCCATTTTGACTAATCAATATTTTTAAAAATTTCCCTTTGTTTTTTTTTTTTTTTTTATATATAATTTACTATTTTTTTTTCTTTGATTCAGTCCTTTCATGTGGCTCATAGTAGTTATCTTCATTCTCGTAGATGTGCATGGTGAGTTTTTTTTTTTCCATTAGTTTAAAAGCTTTTGCATTATTTTATTTTATTTATTTATTAAAAATTGGCTGAAAAATATATTTGTATTATGATAGGTTGGAATGCATATCTGTGGGTGTCTTTTCTTCCGCTAATTGTAAGTTTACTTTCATTTGCTAAATACGAATTAGCAAGGCCTCTGTTATGGATATTTAATATTAAATTATAGTTTATCATATATATCATATTTGATATTTTATTATAAACTAAATATCTAGATATATATTTTCTTATCATAGGTATCTTTATATTTATTGTTCTTTCCATCTATTACTATTTCCATATTATTGTAATTTATTTGATTATAAGTAGAGAACTTTCACACATTATTTAGGTGTGGTAGATTAAGCAAACATTCTCAATCTAAAACATTGAATTGTTGCACCATGTAGATAGTACTAGCTCTTGGAACAAAGCTTGAAGTAATCGTAGCACGGCTTGCGCTTGAGCTTAAACACAAGACGGATGTGATCAAAGGAGCCCCAATGGTTGAACCAAGTGATGATCTCTTCTGGTTCAATCACCCCAAATTTGTTCTTACCCTCCTTCATTTCACCTTGTTTATGGTAAATTATCTAACATATTCTCCAATCCAACTTCTTTACCCACAATTTTCTCTATCTATCTTATCAATTTTCTTCTCCTTTCCTTTTCAGAATGCATTCGAGCTTTCTTTTATCATTTGGGTCACGGTAAAAATCTATGCAACTTTATTATTCTTCGTTTTCCTTTCTTTTTGTGTATATTTGATTTGTTTACATTACGTTTCTTCATTCCGTTGGTACATTTTCAGCTACAATATGGGATTAAATCTTGCTACCATGAAAAGTTGGTGGTCATCATTATAAGAATAGTCTTGGCGTAAGTATCATTGATCAAAAGTAGCATTAGTTTTCGTACTTATCATTGTTAAATCAATATAAGTCTCGAGTTGTTTATGAAAAAGCATGTAATAATTTTTAAAATGTTAATTATTGTAGGGTTACCGTCCAAGTATTGTGCAGCTACAGTACTCTACCTCTCTATGCTCTTGTGACACAGGTAAATACACGAATGAGTAAAGTATCTTATTCTCAAATAATATAAAGAGTGAAGATTTGAGTATTTGACGTCTACTTTAAATGTACTTGTGTATGGTCAGATGGGGTCACAGTTCAAAGCTGCAGCATTAGAAGAACATACCGCCAAAGCCATAAAGAAATGGCACCAAGATGTGAAGCAAAAGAGAAAACAGAGTAACCATCACCAGTACTCCAACGACCTAGACCTAAGCCAACACCAAGAGGGATTGTCTCCCTTGGTTGCTGGGCACTTGTCGTCGATGGTTTCCGAGAGCAGCAACAAAACCCAAAGCTCCCAAGAGATGACCCCTTTCCATCACCGAGCTCCCACTTTTTCTGAGCTCAGTTATCTTGACATTGAATCCAATGAGATTGTTGAAGAAGTCACAGAAGAAACTGCAGTCATAAAAGTAAGAGAGATTAGTGAAGTTCACGAAGGCGATACTGAATCCCATATCACATAAATTTTGGTTTGAGCTAAAAGATAGACGTTTGTGTGGGGTAGAAGCCTATTATTATTTGATTATGTATATATTTAGTAGCTTTCATATTCGTGTATGAGTAGCCTTCTTTTTTCTTACTTCCGTCTGTGATTTCGTGCCATTTTCAGTAGTCCTAACGAACCCATAGATTCTTCTACCAGATCCTCTAGATTGTATTCCAATTTTCTGGCCTCGAGCAACTTGATTGTTCATTTGTATTTATTATAAATTTTAGTGAGAAAGGGAGTTATTAGTGGAATAATTATTTGGATAGAAATAAGATTTAAACTTTGAGTTTGAAGAGTTTTTCGAAAATTGTAATATTATTTTATAATCTTTCACCCACCGTATTAGATGAAAAATCAAACAATCTAAATTTCATTTTTGAAATATTTATAAATGATAATAAAAAAAAAAAAATATAAATAACCTCTCATAAATGTCAAAATTTTATACTAATTTTAATATTTAAAATTAAAAAATAAATTAAAAATTAAAAAATTAGAAAATGAAGAAGAAGGGAGAAAGGGATAAACCCTGGGAAGTTATGGGTTTTAGTTCGTTTTCAAACGCAGGGACTGAAGCCGAAGGTTCTGTCAAGAAGAGGATCTTTGAGAAATCTTCCCCAATGTTGTAGTACTAATCGAATATCTGTTTCTGTTTCAGAAACCCTAAATCGGATCTCAAATTCAGACCTGATACGGATGGAAGCTGCCAGAAATGGCGGAAGAGCCGATGGCTCTTCTTCTCCGAAGCCCTTGAAGTTCTCGGCGTACCAGAACCCGGCCTTATCCGCCGCTTTAACTGTCAATAGCATCCAACCTTCCAAGTTCACCTTCCTCTGCATCTTCTCCCTCTCCTCTGCATCTGCATTTGCCTTCCTTCGCATTGTTTCCTGGTAAAGTTTGATCTGCTGCGTCTTTTTTATTTAGTGAACTTTTCGATCTTCGTGTTCTGTCTGTAGCTTTGTTTTGTGTGGACTGTGAAGCTTATCGTTAGTTCTGAATGAGGATTTTATGGATGTTGTCTTGAATGTGAACGAGAAATTACGAGTACTTGAGAAAGAGTTCTGCTGAATTTTTCCTTCAGATTTTCTTTTATGCTCTTGGTTTTGTTTTTCTCAGTTAACTGAAGCTAATGCATTTTTTTTTTCTTCTGAATTAATGAAGGGAGAATGCGATTATCGACAGCTTGAAGCTGAAAAACATTCCTGAAGAGGCGGCCTGTATGTTACTATATTATTCTCATTTGTGTATGTTTGCTTTGAGTTTAAGCTACCACGTTGAACACTTATGGCTGTATTGCTTTTTTTTAATATTATCCTTTTCAATACTTCAGATGTTTCTGCCAAGGCTGTACAGACAGTGGTAGGCTTAGTATTTTTGGGAACAGTATTAGCTTTCTTCAAAGCAATATTCTTGTATAGAAGAAGATTTAGTGGTGGTTTGTCTGTTGTATCTGCCTCTAATGGTTTCAAGGATCAAACACCTCTTTCCAAGCGTCAGCTAGGGCTTATGGGATTAAAACCAAAGGTTGAGAATGGGACATCTGAAAAGGCATTAAAACCTCCAAAATCTAAACCCTACTCATCACCTCCTTCTTCTGATGTTCTTGTTCCTCTTCATCAATCTATGGGCAGTTTTGGTTATTCATCTCAAAGAAACACAGATAAATCGAACTCTGTCAGTGGAAGTAAAATGCAGTCTTTCACAACACCTGCAAAGTCCCCTGGTTCTGATTCTTCGTTTTATCTTGTCTCTGGAGTGGCCTCACCATTGCCTTCTGCCCTGAGTACGTCGGGACGGGATTCTGTGGTTTGTACCTCATGGTCAAGCAAGCGAGTATCCTCTCTGAAAGAAATTACATCCGAAGAAGAATTTGAACGATTTCTTACTGAAGTAGATGAAAAATTAACCGAGTCTGCAGGAAAATTAGCTACTCCACCCCCCACCATCAGCAGTGTTGGTATAACCAGTCCCAGTACTGTTGATACTTCAGCTAATACCTCTGGAACTACCAGAAGTACTCCCTTGAGGCCTGTAAGAATGTCTCCAAGTTCACAGAAATTCAAAACTCCTCCTAAGAAAGGAGAAGGTGATGCTCCCTCCCCAATGTCTATGGAGGAAATGGTTGAAGCTTTCAAGTATTTGGGAGTATATCCCCAAATCGAGGAATGGCGTGATCGTCTTAGGCAATGGTTTTCTTCTATTCTGCTTAATCCTCTTGTAGAAAAGATCGAAACCAGTCATATTCAGGTACGGTTTGTCTACTTTGTGCTTTAGTAATTAAGTTTTGTTTTCCTTGACTCGGATTTCAATGATTTTCATAAACCAAAATTTAGGAATTCTATCGGGCATGTTAACTTGTTGTGATAAAATTTTTGGTGTAAATATAGATTATATTTCATGGAAAAAAATATATAATCCTGTGCTATAGCGCCTATAATTTAGCCTGTATATTAGAACATTTCAATTTTTTAGTGTCTATTTTTCTAGTTCTTGTGGAGCTATAGTTGTTGGCATATGACTTATATTCCCAATTTTCCATTTTTCCTTGTATGTCTCATTATGGAGATTTACGTGTGAATCAAACTGGTCTGATTTATAACTGTGTTTGAGAGTGGTATTTGCTTAGTTGCACGATGAGTTACAAACATGAAACCAATGATTATTTTGATAGTTTACACATCCTTTGCGCATTATTAATCTGCTAAACTTCATGGTTCTTTAAGGTAAAGGAAGTGGCTGCTAAACTCGGTATCTCAATTACAGTAAGTCCAGTAGGCGATTCCTCTGGAACCCTTCCTACTGTATCTTCGGTTGACAGGATTAATGAATGGCAACCAACATTGGCCCTTGATGAAGATGGGCTTCTCCACCAGTTACGAGCAATGCTTGTTCAATCCATAGATGCATCTAAAAGTAAGGTTTTCCTTTTATTTTTTTTTCAGAAGTTTCTAGAAGTTATGTTTCTATGGGTTTCTGGTTATAATTGATTATTTTTTTCCTTTTTTGAGTTTAGGTTATGATTGATTTGCTTGTTCTATCATCGGTCTCAATAAAAGAAGCTTACTTTTCTATAGAAATAATAATAGTAATAATAATTGCTTTGTTTGCAATCATCTATCTTCAATGCAGTTAAGATGCCTCTGGTGAATGCACAACGGTCCCCTCAGCAGAATCCCTTAGTTCCCATCATGCAAGAGTGTGTTGATGCCATTGTAGACCACCAGAAACTTCTTGCTTTGATGAAGGGTGAATTGGTCAAGGGCTTGCTGCCTCAAAGTAGCACTCGAGCAGATTATACAGTACAAAGAATCAAAGGTTGGCGTAGGTCATATATGATCAGTTTATCACGTTTTCCCCTTTACCCACTGTCTAATTCATCTATCTAAATTCTGTAAAATAGATGGTAGGTTACATTTTTTAAATTGACATTTGGACCACTACCAATTTCACAGAGCTTTCTGAAGGATCCTGCTTGAAAAATTACGAGTATCTTGTGACTGGGGAGGTATATGATAAGAAGAACAAGAAATGGACACTTGACCTTCCAACCGATTCTCACTTACTCTTGTATTTATTCTGTGCTTTCCTTGAGCATCCGAAGTGGATGCTACATCTAGATCCTTCAACCTATGCCGGAGCTCAGTCCAGTAAAAATCCTTTGTTCTTGGGGGTTCTTCCTCCAAAAGAACGGTTTCCCGAGAAGTACATAGCCATAATATATGGTGCTCCTTCCATTATTCACCCTGGAGCTTGCATACTGGCTGTTGGGAGGAAAAGTCCCCCAGTTTTCTCTTTGTATTGGGATAAGAAGCTTCAGTTTTCCCTTCAGGTTGTTTTCCTTTGAACGCATTATTTGCTCAAATCATTCTTAGACTTTGTTCAATATCATAGATTACATAATGTTCAATGTTGTGTTCCAAAATCGATCTGAACTACTACGAGTTTCTGAAACGTCATTGCGACAACAATTAACTGTTATGATCTTTATTTTCAGGGAAGAACAGCATTGTGGGACGCCATATTGCTCCTGTGTCACAGAGTCAAGGTCGGATATGACGGAATTATTCGAGGTATGCACCTTGGTTCTTCTGCACTAGGAGTTCATCCGGTTTTGAATTCAGAGCCTGTAGACTGAGTGAGTCAATGTGTGTTTTTGGTTTCATCAATCTTCTCACTATATCTGCTACATGAAACTAACAAAACATGTGCTTATGCAACAATTTTTCTCCTTTGTACAAATGTGTATCCTGGGGGAATTGCTTAGGGTTGACCTACCTACTGAAAGCTTAGAACTTTAGTTTCCCAGATTGAATGTTGATGTATCCTAGTCGGAGTTCTTCAATAGTTTGTACTGACCACAATTCACAAGGATCCTGAATCCGAAATTGTCAAAGAACAGTTTACAATTCTGTTTGGCTGCCTTTTTGTTTTACACAACTTTAAGTCTTCTATCATTTCCTTGCACCTTGTAGATGTGAGATTGCCATTAACTACAACTTTAGTTCTATTTATAAGTTCGAACATGATTAAAATTAATTAAATAGATTAGAATGAAATTAATTGAATGCACAATTTATTGTTCTCAATCTTGTTCTTCATTCTAACCATATGAGGATTTGATCTTGGAATGTATTTGAGGCATCGAGAAAAAATGGCTATGGCTAAATTATATATAATAAAAATGTTCTATATTTAAAAAATATCTTTATTTTTAAAAAATATAAATGTTCTAAAATTATTGATGGTAGAAATTTCTCTCGAATGAAAAGTTGACATGTATGAATACCTAAACTTGATATAGACGAGAGTGCAAAATTGGTAAGATATGGAAAAACACGAGAAATAAATAAATAAAAAATTGATTCATTGAACTTCAAAATTGGTAAAGATATTGGAATTGTTGTACAAATAGCTCAATATACGACTCTCGATCTCGCTCATAGTTTATTCACATGAGATTAGCAGCACGAACCGTGCCATCACGAGCAACATCACTATCATAGCCTTTTAGAAGATAACTTGTACATGATTAAGTGCATACCAAGTAAAGAAGTTGAAGAGAAGTCCAGATGCAACCGAACTAACTGAGAACAATTGAAGCGATATGGACTCTATTATGGATTTTTCACCATATTCTTCGTAGAACCCTCTTATCTCTTCCTTCTCCGTGAAGAAAAAGGTCAAACACAACCGAACCGATTGAGATCACCGAGAGAGATCCGAACTCTATTATAGGTTTCTAACCACATTTTCCATAAGACTCTCTTATCTCTTCCTTCTCCAAGCTCGGGTTATGAAAGAAGGAACCGAGAAAAAGTATCTAACAACCCGTAAGATTATATATACAACCACATGGGTTTGAAAGATTATGGCCCAAAAAAATTAGGCATCCCTAAAAAAATCCCAATGACATTAGCATTACAAGTACAGTCTACGCCGAAACATTTCCTAAGCGCTCAGTTTCTGCCTCTTCCACTGAACACCATTACAACTGCCACTGTTCTCTCATCTCTTCTCTTCACACTCGAATCCGACCCATCAAATTCATATCCACCTCAGTTCTTCATTATCGATTCCTCAGCGCACCTTCAATCCCCGAATTGGCCCTCATTTTTCCAATTCTTTTGACCTACCTACTGTTACTCTTTAACTTCCCCTAATGCTGCTTGTTCTCTAAGTATAGGTTGTTTTCGATATTGGGGGTTCATCAATTTGATCTCATTTCAAAACCCTCAAGAAATTCCCTAGGAAAAACCATGAACAATGGCGAAAATCGGCGATTAAATGGTGAGGCTGAAGAAGAAGACGATGATGACGATGCCAATGGCGGAATGGCGGCCTGGGAAAGGACTTATGCCGATGATAGGTCGTGGGAAGCTCTACAAGAGGACGAGTCTGGGCTTCTTCGGCCGATTGACAATAAGGCCATTTTCCATGCCCAATATCGCAGACGTCTTCGTTCACTTTCTTCCTTAGCAACTACTGCTCGAATTCAAAAGGGTCTTATTCGCTATCTCTATGTCGTCATTGATTTCTCCAGGGTTGGTTTCCTTTTTCATTCATGTCTCTATTACTCCCTGCTATTTGATTTGATCTGACCTATGCCTTCGCTTTTGATGTTCTTATTGAGATAAGGGATTTGTGATGTTCATCAAGTTAAATGCATAGAATCTCTGTTGAAATGTTTTTCATTGAAAATATGGAGTAGATCACAAGACAAACAAACTTTCAAGTAATCTTAATTTCCAGAAATCAAATACTAACAATCAAATGATTATCAAACATGGACTTCTCCCAAGAACTATAATGTGTGGTATAATCTCATTTGCCCAACTTGTTTGTTCTCTGATTACGTTAGGAAGGGTCTGGGAAGTATTTTGTGAATGAGTTTAGTTTAGAGCATGAATTTCTGTCCATAGAAACTGTAAAAGTGATGGAATGGTGGTTTTTCCTTTTCTATTTCTCTTATTTTGCGTATCTCTCGACGCGCAGGCAGCAGCGGAAATGGATTTTCGACCGAGTCGAATGGCTGTGGTTGCAAAACATGTGGAAGCTTTTGTCAGGGAATTCTTTGACCAAAATCCTCTCAGTCAGATTGGTTTGGTGACTATAAAGGATGGAGTTGCTCATAGCTTAACAGATCTTGGTGGGAGTCCTGAGTCCCATGTTAAAGCATTAATGGGGAAACTGGAATGCTCAGGTGAAGCATCCTTGCAGAATGGTCTGGATCTTGTTTGTGGCTATCTAAATCAAATACCATCATATGGGCATAGAGAAGTTTTAATCTTATACTCTGCTCTCAATTCCTGTGATCCTGGAGATATAATGGAGACAGTTCAGAAATGCAAAACATCTAAAATAAGGTGTTCAGTAATTGGTCTTACTGCTGAACTTTTTATATGCAGACATCTCTGTCAGGAAACCGGTGGCTCATACTTGGTCGCATTGGATGAGGTGAGTTTAATTGGATGTGTTTCCTAAAATGAAGAACTAACCATAAAATTTCTGCAGCAAGACTCTGTTGATGTTTTTATATGGGAGTACTTCGCTAAATGTTTGTGAAAAACTTGCCTTTTTTGTAGTCCCATTTCAAAGAGTTGCTATTAGAGCACGCACCCCCACCCCCAGCAATAGCAGACTCTGCAATGCCTAATTTGATCAAGATGGGGTTTCCACAAAGAGCAGGGGAGAGTTCTATTGCGATTTGTTCGTGTCACAAGGAAGCTAAAGTTGGAGGGGGCTATACTTGCCCTCGATGCAAAGCTCGAGTTTGCGAGCTGCCAACTGAGTGTCGAATTTGTGGATTGACACTTATTTCTTCACCTCATTTGGCTAGGTCGTATCATCATCTCTTTCCGATTATACCATTTGATGAAGTTTCTGATAAACTATTTCATGATCCACGACATCAACTACCGAAAGTTTGCTTTGGCTGCCAAGAAAACTTCACAAACCCTGGTAAGAACTCAAATGAACATGATGTTTGGAATTATGGTCTTCTAGTAATATAATATACGTGTCGGCTTAGTGAGCGTGGATATCTTAAAATCAGGTGGAGTGAAAAGAACAGACCTTGTGTCTTTCTTACTCGGGGTTCTTTAAGCTGGGTGCTATTTTCAAATGGCCCGTAACGTTTGATTCCTAAAGTATAGAATGTTGTGTTTAAAAGAACTTCCACGTTTTCTGTTCATGGTTTGGTCATTCTTCATTACTAAATTTTGTGCTGCATCAGTACTATGCTGAAACAATCTCATGGGGATTTAAGTTGTCTCTGTATTGGGTGACTTAAGATTATTACATTGCTCATATGTGATCCTGTTTAAGGCAATAGAAGCAACTTTATGAAGAAATATGGATGATTTCTGCACTATGCATCGAACTTTTGACTCATTGAAATGTACATTCTTTTCATATTAGGTACAGGTAACAGCCCCGGCATCCGAGTTTCTTGCCCAAAGTGCAAACAACACTTCTGTCTTGATTGTGATATTTATATTCACGAGAGCTTGCACAATTGCCCTGGCTGTGAGAGTTTCAGACGTCCCAAATCAGCGACTTCCGATGATTGAACGGATGCGAACTTCTGATGGTTAAACACCTTCCTTTGGACCGAATGCATACCCTTAACCAAATCCAAACTCTATTATGGCCATGTCAATGCTGTCTGTTCATTTGGTTTAAAGCTGTTATCAGTTTTGTACCAAAGTTTCAAGTGTGTCCTATGATGAATCAGAGGCTCACATTGTTACTGTTGAAGTTGTCTTTGATGTTTCGACAGACAGCTCAACCTATTTTTCAGAGGCCAAGTTCATGGGCGTGGCTTTTTTACACTTGAACCCATTGTTGAAATTGGCTAAAATTTCGTTCTGAGAATAAGATTTCACAAAACTAACAGGCCGCTCAGTTTCATAGGAAGGCCGATTTCCAATGGTTTGACTCGTGTACTCAAAATTGAACCCCCAGGGGACAATTCCCATTCTCATTTTCATGTGGATGTGCAGGAGCTTTATATTGTCTGAATTATTCAGTGGTATTTGACTTTCATATTTTTTAGTCTTTAAGTTATAAAAGTATCTTATGCAAAAAAATTTCATACCAGTTGGAAAGGAACTAGGCTTTGAAAGAGGGTGGATTGTGAGATCACATATTACATATTAGATGGGGAGCACGAAACATTTTATAAAGGTGTAGAGATGCATTTTAAAAACCTTGAGAAGTCCGAAAGGGAAAATCTGGTGGACTTGAGCCGTTACAAATTGTACTAGAGCTGGACACTGAGCGACGTACCAATGAGGAGGCTGAGCCCCGAAGGGAGTGGACACAAGGCGGTGTGCCAACAAGGACTTTGGGCCCCGAAGGGGTGGATTGGGAGGGTCCCACGTCAATTGGAGAAGTGAATGAGTGCCAACGAGAACCTTTAGCCCCGAAAGGAGGTGGATTGTGAGATCCCACATCGGTTGAGGAAGATAACGACTCGTTCCACCCCACAAACGACTTGTTCCACCCCACATCGGTTGCCTGAGGAAAAACCCAAAAAAGTAACAATTTCGGCTAACTTCGACGGTTATTGGAGTCTAGTCATTTACAATATAATCATACGAGTATACAAATTTCCAAGATCAAATTCAAAACCAAGACTACAAAATAGATACAATGAAATTTCTCAATGATTATCATTGGCAATGATCAATGTATTTGAAGTTGTGCTTTTCGAAAGCGTTGCAACAAGGAAAGATGGGAAGCAACCACTCGTTCACTTTCCACAGGATATGTAGAACGGTCACGCCAATTAAACATTAAACTTTCTTTCTGGTGTAAATTTAATTTCTATAAATAAACTAAATCTCAATCAAAGATATATATACAGCTAATTGCTCTCATCGTCAAGGAAAAAAAAATTGTATTACATGACTACCCAATTCATGACCATCTCTCTCTGTACAGTTTCACCCGCACTGGAACTACAGGCACACAAGTCGTCCGACCATCCTGTCATCCTCTATCACATTAGGCCTTTGGCGTCACCAACAATCAGAATTGAAGAGAGTTGGGTGGTGTTGTATAATATCCATTATCCATTTGGTCCTTGCGATTGCTCGTTTATCAACTTTCTTACCCATAAAATATGGGGGAACATACTTGAAGTTTGAAGAAGAGATGAACCAAAATGAATATTTACGAGCTTGCCTGTCCCCAGAAAGAAATCAAATAAGAGCAGCAATAATTCTTGGTCATCTAAGGTACAAAGCCTACTCTGAATCGGAGTCTATAGAAAGGTACATCCGCTGTCTGACAGAACGCTTCTGGCGAGGGAAGGAGAATGGGCTATCTGATCTTTGCCGGCTTGCTTTCTCATGTCTAACGTCATTCATTCCAAGAAGCAGAGAAGCTGATGCAACAATATAGTTAGCCTCAAAATCAAGAATACACCAGAACTTCGAATAAAAGCAAATGCAGAAGAGAAGCTGGAATTGAGTTTTTATTTTTCAGAAGCATGATTTCATTGATGTGACGACATGTACAAAAGGGGGATGAAAGCCTCCTCACAGGCCTAAAGGTTACAAAAAAGCCCTCCACCGAGTATAATTTCAGAGATCATTTGGGCATGTTCTTTCTACAGGAATTAATAAAGTATATGAACAAGATCATAAGAAAACGGCCAGAAAACAATAAACATATGCATAAACAAGATGATTACATGCAAAAACCAGTTTTTTCCAATACAAGATTGAAAAGATCCAAAGGAAAATAGAAGTCTGAAGTGGAGCAAAGGACGGAAAACAAGTTAACACTTTTCACTGATATAGTGAAAAGTCACAAGGCATTGGTGAGGAACGAGAAGGAAAATAAAAAAAATTCCAGGCAAAAAATTGCTGACTACAAAAGATCTATTCAACACAATGCATGCGTTTCAGATCTGCAACCATCATTGAATTCTAACCAATCCTCACAATTCAACAGGAGAGGAAGTGGAAAATAACTAACCAGTACCAGACAATGAATTGATTTCGCCTCCAGTTGATGGAATATGCTGTCTTGAATTCAGTCCCTTGGCGGTTGTTGACTCCACATTGCTACCACCTAAATCACCCCCAAGCCTGAGAGAGATCCAATCATCAGTATGAACACCATTTGATACATCAACCTCATCCCTGAAATCAGACTGCATGGGCGCATCTGAAGGCCTTGTAGGAAGAAATATTTGAAGAGATGGATCATCACCAGCAAAAGCTAATGGATTATCAACCAAGCTATCATTCATGGTACCATCAGTACGACCAATTGAAGAATCTGGAACAAGAGAAGTGGGACTTATAGCTGCCTCTGGGGCCACTGCATAGCCATTCATTGAGGAACAATTGATGGAGTTATGCTGCAAGTCAACTAAATCATCTGATAAAACTGCATTGTTGCTAAACAATTGGAACCCAGCACCTCCTTGTGTTCCAGGAGGTAATGACCAAGACATTCCAAAATCAACCTCATCGTGGGCATTAAAAAGACCCAAGCATGAATTTCCAGAAGATAATAGAGTTGGATCATCGGGATATGTATCTCTGTGTCCAGGAGCTGGCATGGAGAAAGGAACCTCATCTGCATCTGTATGGTTAGTCTGATAAACAGTTCCAGACGTAACTAAAATGTCATTATCTTCATCTGAATCACTTAGAACAATGACATCACCAGCTGGAGCAATAGGATTTTGTTCGGTAAATCCATATGCTGAGTCAACATGTAAGGAAAGAGAATCCATCTCAATCCCATTATTATTAGAGAAATCCAAGTTTACACCACCCTGGTTTACACTTGGATCTTCACCATCCCTACTGTCAGTGGCACTGCTGCTCATTGGGATAATCTTGTGGTCATGGTTCTCATAATTCTCCCCCAATCTATTACCAGAGAAAGTATTGATATCTTCAGGTCTGCTGACTTCCCAAAACCCATTACTATTCCTCCTGATGCCAAGTTTCAGACCACGCTCTAATCCATCTTCATGCTTTATCTGCTTTGATGCTTCCATCTTTGGTTTAACTTCTTCATTACTAACACACGAAGTACCGTCAGGGGAGTGCCACAGCCAAAGATCACCAAGATCCCTGCGCTCGCTTTCAGTTTTAGATCTCACACGCCAGGAACCATCAGGCTTAACGTCAATTTCTGTAACATCTTCTCCACAATGTCTCATCTGTACAACCATAGTATGACAGGATTAAATTAATTTCACCGGTAAAATGTAGCTGAAGAATGCAGAAAAGACAGTACCATAGATGTTATACGGTTGAAATAAGGGTCTATGATAACATTCTCCAGCGCATAGTTCTTCAGACAGATTGGGCACTGCCACTGCAGTAAAAATACAAACAGTTAAATATAAGAAGATTAGCATAAGAAATTGATACAACAACTTGCCTTCCTTGAGCGTTGATTCATTTCTACAAACACTTCAAGATCAAAGCAGCCCATGTGAGCACAAGGTTTAAACCGTCCAGCAATCTTCATTCTTGAACCACTCATCTAGGGAACGGAAGCCCACAAAGAAATAATACAGATTATTACCAATAAATAATTTTTGCAACACAAGTGTAACTCCAAAAATGATATAAGAACTTCCTAGCAAAAAATTGAGTATGCGCTCTGGCTTCAACCATCTTTCCTTAATTACACAATATTGAGGCCAATTCTTGCAACAATGTTCTTTACAATCTGTGGAATTGGATATGCATGCACATAAGTAAAACCCAAAACAATTTTTCCAGTGGTTAGCCAACTAGAAATACCAAATTACAAGCTGATGAGTATCCCATACAAGCGTTTATACTCACTTCAGTTTGACAACCAAAATTTAGATATTGAAACCATCTAATGAATGTCAAGTCACTGTAACATACTTTTATCATGAAATTATCCAACTAACTCAAATAATGGAGGACAAAGGAACTTCTTAAGTTCACACTGGGCACATAGGTTTAGACCTTGCAACCTCAATATCCATCTAGTATGGGAAATACTCTTCAAAACAATGAAGAACGTGACCACATATATACATATATGGTGCATAAGAAAAGCTTAATACTGCAACATGATTCACCTTTATTGTCCTAGGCACAGGAATTTCAAAAAATAGTGTGGTCAAAGTCAACTGTGAGTGACACACTAATTATATAAACATAAACCAAAGGTTTTCAAAAAGGAAAGTTTGTTTCTTGTTCAAAAAAAAAAAAAAAAAAATTAGAGGTTTGCAACACCCAGCCGGCTATCTGATCTGTTGGATCAGCCATTTGATTCCAAACTATTTTCCAAGATAAGAGTAGATCTCCATATTTCGATCATTTATTATGATTTGTTTTTGGCAAGAAACAATGTCTTTGATAAAATAAAATTATACAAGGGAGTGAACCCCCCATCCAAAGGAAGTTACAAAAACATCCTCCAGTTAGAAAAAGAACAGTGCTCGTGATATGATTGCAAAAGGGGAGACATTTTTACACCATGATAAAGCCAAAATAGAAAGAGACTATAAAAAAGATATTTGATGCCATCTTATCAAAAAAAAATTGAGGCTCCTCTCTATAGTGACCAAATAAAGGCTATTGCTGAAATGAAGCCAAAACCATGAGTCTTCCTTTGTGTGATGGAATGGATGATCAAGTAGGATCAAAGGGAAGAAGCACAGACCAACCAAAGCCAGCGTGAAGAATTTCACAAATTCAGGAAGAGAGCACAAAGTACGATCATCATACTTTTTGCATAATGGGCACCACTACAGTGAAATGGCCATCCATGGAATCCTTATTTGCAGATTGTTAGAGAACTGAGGTAAGGAGGACTGAGTGATCATAGCAAAAACTTGAGTTTGGAAGGATAGATCCTTCAAAATGACATTATAAAGGCTTTGCTCGGATTTCATGACCAAAGCAAAGATTAACAGTTGATCATCAAACTTGGATATGTAAATCTTTAAAACAAGGACCTTTGGGATTGATAGTTCATCTTTAGTTTTTATGATAAACCAGCTTTCATTGAGAAAATGACAGAATACATAAGCGGAAAAGATCAATACTTGGATTTTTCGTATCCTATCCGAAGTGTTAATTTTGAGAAAAATGACGGAGTACATAAATAGAAAAAGTTCTCTTCATGCGCACTAGAAGAGTTTTTTGTGATTTTTAATGGTTTGGCTTTCCTTCCCCTGAAGTTGTAATTTCTTTCTCAACTCCAGCAACAGAGAACCAATGAGAAGTGTTTACCATTTACAAAAAGAAAGAATCGGCAACAAGCATAATCCATAAAGGATTGAGAAATCCTCCCACTTCTAACAAATATCTCAAATGAGAAGCATAATAATACAATATAGAAGACTAATGTATTTCAGAAAATGGCATGAGACTTACAGGACAGCGTAGATTAACCCCAAAAAAGTCTGCAACAACCTCCACGTCACTGTCACTATCAGCATTATCTGCAGTGTTCCCACCAAAAATGCAACGGCAAACACGGGCAAGAGCATCTTGAAAACATTCACCGTCAGACTCCTTGGGAATCATGGCTAGAATCTAAAGAAGAAAAAACATGTGCAACACCCAATGACAACCAACTTATTAACATTTCTGAGAGAATAAAAGATAGGAAATATTTGTGACATGCATTAAAAAAAAATAAAACGAATACAAACATGTGCACATTGCAACATTCCAACTCCCATCTCATTCCAATCCTCCTACATGAAACCTTAAGATAATAGGTAGAGCTCAGAAGATGGGACAGATCCCGACCATCCTAGGGTGGTAGAAAGATCAAACCCTTTGAACTCAAAATTTCTTATCCTTGTATTCAAGGGTTAGGTTAGGGGATGTGCAAATTTCTTTTCTTTTCTTCTCGTCTTAACATTTATGCGAGACAAAAGTCATGCTATATGTGTTGTTCTTTCTTTCCTCTTTTCTATAAAAGAGATTCTTCTTCAAGATTAGAGTGAGAGTGAGTGATTGACGGGAGAAGAGGTGGGGTGAGAGAGAGAATATAGAAAATAGGAAACATGAGAGAGAAGTAGGGTAAAATGGATCCAATTTTTACAGTATTTAGAGTTTGAGGGTTTAATTTTAACCTTCAAAGTTTAGATGTCTAATTCTCACATTTTTTAAAAGTTTAGCCAGTCTAATTTTTTTTTTTTTTTTATGGTTTAGGGGTCTGACTTTCATAGTTTTGAGAGATTAACTTTTACACTTTGAAAGTTTGGGGTGCAATTGTTACAACTGACATACTTCGAGGGCAGTTTTTTTGCAATTTTCCCTTCATTTTATTTCTTTCCAGCCATCTACATCTCTTCCTTGCACCCAGTTTCAATCTAATGCCCAAAAGCTTATGCCTTGTGATAGCCTCCAGCACCATTTCCTAATAGCCATCTCCCCTAACAAAATTTTTCAAACATACTTAATTACCTCCTGGCAGTGGAAACTAGTAACTTACTGGGAAAGGTAAGTTCAGTTCTATGAAGATGCATACAGACACAAGAAATGACGCAATTGAATATCCGTATAAGATAAAGGCTTGACCCCTCATGTAAATGTTTTATATTAATAGAAGTATTTATTTCTTTCAAACCTGCCCCACAATTATACACAAAACCGTGAAGCTGCACCGCACCAGTGATAACGAAACATTTACACTGGAAAAATGTGCTGCTTCATATTACAAATATGTCTAACAAATATAAAGATTCTCCAAAATGATATCCAGAAGAATCTAAAACCTCGAAAGATATTTAACAGCTATGGTTCCCAAAAAAGTTACCTGTTGAACAGTGCGCCGTTTCACAATTCGAACCCCTAAACAAAAAGTACGAGTATCACATCCTGTTAATGTCATCTTATTCATTCCATCTTTTGTGCACGGTGTGATCTGACAGGACAAAAGAGTCCGAAAGTTGGGCGTTAGAAAACATAATGCTCCACGAGAATACACAAAAATTGCAATGCAGAATAAGAGAGCTTACAATTGGACCATCATCACGACCATTGGCCCCCAAAAGTTGAGAGCCGGGCCTATTAATGGCACGAACAGCCAAACCTGTGAAGCAATTAAAGTTTGACCGTCAAAACTAAATGAACTGTCCTACTGCATAGTAAACATCATTATACATACATGCATAGTGCAACCATGACCTAATCAAGAATTAAATGCATGCCTACATTTTTATAAACGGACAAATATGATAGATAAATACAGTTGTGAACTTTTTAATTAAAGCTTTGATACATACAGGGTCAAATTAATAGCATACCATTAATTTGTAACTCTGCGTACTGAGGCCATTGCATCCTGAATGGAACCTTGTCGTTCAAAAGCATACACCAGGCCTAGCATAACAAAGACATGCTTAGTTAAGAAATCAATCAGTTTACAGGGAAAGAAAGGTGAACTAACCAACCTGAACATCATATTCCTGTTTAGAAAGTAAGTCCTTATCGGCCCTTGTGAGTTGAAACGTTCTATCCAGACTCTGCATGGGATTTGTACTACATATTCGTACAAGAGGCACATCGTCAAAAAAAAAAGAATATATAGAAAATCAATATATATGTTATAAGAATGTAACATTAGAACTTCTGGTTGAAATAGAAATATGACGGGGGAAAACCCTAAACAAAAGGGTTTAAGCATCTAGGGTTAGTAATTTTTTAATTAATAAAGAAGAAAAAAAAAACCCTAAATGCAAGGATTTTTTGCGTTCAGTGTCAGTAAATATTTTTTCAACTATGAAGAGGCCCTAAGGCACTGGACTTTGCACCATAGGGCTCATAAGAAGCCACAAGCACACATGCGTCTCACCTTGAGATCTGCGCCTAGCACCTAGGCACAAGCCTTAAGGAACTTTTTAAAACACTGGACACAGGCTAGAATTGAGAATGAAGATGTAGTGAATGATGTTAAAGGTATACTGAGGGATACAGAACCAAAAAGAACTGGCTTGTTGAACAAACAAGTAAATTGGGACAGAAAGATCTTGAACGTATAAGATATTATGCAGCTTCAAAAAAAAAAAAACTCTTTTCAGTAATAGAGATTATTATCTCCAGCGTTTGATTCTTAATCTATTTGTTCAAGTTACTTCCAACTCTTAACATGTAATCGTAATCTACACTTTTCTAAAAGAAACAGGACTTTTACTAACATGATGAAATCTGCAAAAAGGAGATAGCCTCAATCCATGGCTAAGTGAAATTATAAGAAAGAGCTCAAATTAGTCAACATATCCGAAAATGAATAATTACATACGAAATTACCAAGTCAACACCAAAATGCAAAGACAGATATGACATTACCATTTAAACTTAAATGAACAAAATGTATCCATGCATAAACAAAAACAGTGTTTTTGGGTTTCTTTTTCTTTTCAAGAGGCGGGGGATACAGAAGGTCTTGAATCAAAAGTTAATAAAGTGACCTCACCCATCCGTTGGAATGTTTGAGGATGTGGTAATCAGCTTTGCAGGAAACAGAGGATGTGCAACTGAAACCCAAAAACTGTATTAAAAAATGTTAGATGACACATCATTAAAGAAGGAAACAAAACAAAATTAGTTATTTAACTCTTATTATACAATTGAAAGCTGATACCTGGGCACCAAAAAAATTAATTCAAGGTCAACGTGCATCAAACTGAAATCAAGAGATCCCTTATCCAACAAACTTGAAATCTATTCGTTAATTTAGATAATTGCAAAGATTTTAAAATTCATCAAAAGAAAGATTTTGTGTTGTAAGCAAAGAAATCATTCCCGTGTCACTCCCGAAAAAAGGTTAATACTGGAGTTAAGAGTGTAGAAGCTTAACTATTTTCTCTATTTAGTCACTAATTTGGTTTTTTCTTTGGATGAGACTTTTTTGGCGGAATAAATGTTATTAACTTCTTCAAAGAAGAAAGTACTTCAATATTTCATTATCAAACATTCCTGTTTCCTATACATCCAGTTTATTTCTACAACATAAGCAGCTAATACTTTTTTCTCTATGTAGAGATATACCAGACAAGCCAAAATGTACTGAACCACATAAAGAAGAAACTTTCAAGCAAATAGCACACTTCACTGCCCTCCATTGCACATACCAAACAGTCATTCCTATGGGAAGGATAGTAGCTATTGACTGATTTAAAAAATTGCAGACTTGTATTCAGTAACCCCTAATTCCACAAATAAAAAGAAAATAGGCTAAATGGAAGACATGGGTAATAGATACGCACGGGTCAGCACGATTGAGACGACAGATCTCACAATAAAAGTGTTCAGGGCATGGTGGATTGCTTTCCGTAAGTTTCTCAGGAACTATAACACAACTAATGTGCTGCCACACTTGGCACCGTGGATCCTCACACTGTCGAACGTAAAAAAGAGTGGTGAACAAAAGCAACTGATGTTTCAAGGGAGATGGAACCATAAAAGGAACTAAAATAATTAAAACAAAAAAAAAAAAACATGGAAGGAACTTAAAAAGAAAAATGCATAAACAGAATGGTTTGAGTTATACCTTAATCATCGATTCTGTTTGTAAGGCATTTCCACAAAGACACCGAACCTTCATATCTAATTGCAAAGAATCTTCTGTTTTGCCTTTAACCTGCATGTTACTACTGTCAGAGACACCTTGACCCTTAGATGCTAAATCCGTGGCCCCAGAAACCTGCATTTTTCTGTATAAAAAAAATCATGAGAAAGAAGTTGGAACAAATAAAAGTTGACAGCTGGGCATACATAAGGTATAAAAGAATGTGAAAAAGAAAACACCAGTTGAGATGATTACAAGAAACACTACAAGATATGATATATTTATAAAACAGCTACGTGTGAATAACTACAGAATTAGAAGTGGAAGTTAGTCAACAAGAACCTTGAAGAAATATATAACACCAGAAGACAAACCTATATGTATCATCAACAAGTTTAGCCACTTGATCCTTTCCAACAGCATTTTTCTTTGCCCACATTTTTGAAACTGAAAAGAAACAATTGAAACAGATATTGATAAAATATGAGACAAGTCTTATTAAAGCTATAAAGTAACTACAGCTTATGTTCACAGAACATGAAAATTTTCGGCTAATTAAAAGCCTTTTTGGTAGGCCTTTGGCCTTCTGGGGTATCTCATCTCCTTTTTTGTATGCTTTTCCACCATCAATATGTTCCTTATTTCTTATTAAAAAAACAAAACAAAAATAATTGAACTCAAGACCTTAACATTTATATACTGAACCCCAACCAACAAGGTTTCCCTTAGCCCCTCAACCTTAGTCCCCCAACCAGCTGGATTTCCCTTAGTCCCTCAAACAAGACATGCAAGCAATATGAAAAAAAACAAACACAAAAGCAATGAATTTAAGAGCTTCAACATATTCCAGCAAAAGAATTATGAAACAGAAGCCCAATGTATTAAGATCTCCACATAGACAAGGGGAACTATATAGTGCTCAATTGTAGAATTCAAGTAAGGTTATAAAGAAGAATGTTACCAAAATTTAAAAATCTTACCTTGTTCATCAGAAAGGATGGCAAGTATCCGCTCAATGAGGTCCTACAAAAACATGTCAGACAATCCCTTGAACACATCTCATATTTTAACTCATAAGGTAGCAACCAGAAAGAATATATATCAACGCACAACTCAACTTGATAAGCATGGAAACATATTTTGGTTGAACTTTTCCGGTCTTTCCTCTTTGGCCTCAGACATTATCGGTAAGAGAAGTCAGTGTGCAAAAGAGTGAAAGGATAGTGAATTCTCCCTATAACCAAGGTATTCCAAAAGGATTACAACTTCCAATTGGCTTGTAAACCAAAACCTCGCAAACCTTCCACCCAATTAGATTCATCCCCAACCCCCAATTCTCAATGAATGTGTGAAGACCACAATATCAAGCCAGAAAATAATATTTTTAAATGTTTCCTTGGACCCACGAGTGTATATTCAAGGAGAATAAGGAAGTGGCCCGAAGACTTTATTTCACTACCTAGAAAGCATGTTTGGTTAGCCAGGTACTGGATAAAAAGAAACAATGAAGAAAACAAAAACATGTTGCTCACATATGGGACCTCCATTTAAAAGGGTAATATCATTCAAAGAAACTCTCGGACAAGCTTGTTATAAGGAATTGATACTTCCTGTGCTAGTAAACTTCTTTTTGAACAAAAAAGCCAAAAAACAATAAAAGAACAAAAAGAGAAACAACTTCTCAGTTCCCATTGATAAAATGAAATAATGGTATCTACCTTCTACCTTCTACTATAAGCTGATAAAATAAAAGATGAAAACAAACCATGAAACCTTTGAGCCTACAGTAAAATCAATCTTAACAGCTAAAAGTAAAACCCCAAGGACTTTGATAGACCCCATCCAAGCCATTTAATGAACTATAACAAAAAAAAAAACGAAAAATCAACACCTCTTGAACAACTTCTCATATACAAACCCATTAACCATTGGATAAGAAAACATCCATGCTCGCAGTGGACATTGCATAATCTCATCTAACTACATTGAAATCCCACTTATAGACTAAGTACTGTTACAAATGCCAAATAAGTCGCGTAGCTCTTGCCACAACTCTCTTTTCCCAGAAATTGAGTTATGCCGCTAACATACAAACCCCAAGAGGAAAAATTTTCCTCAAATGTAATCTTCTACGAAAAGAGAATATTCCACAAGTAACATCACCAACTCAAATAAGAGGCTCCTTCAACAAAGCAACAATACCTCCAGAAGCACAACCCCAACAGACAGAAGAAAGGTCCACCAACATTCAATTCTTTTCATTACAGAAATATAGGAGAATTTGGGCATACCGAAAGCAGGGTAATCATAAGAAATTTCTTTTTTGAAATATGAAAAAAGATATGAATCATTAAGATAAACAATGACATAAGAACGAAGATACATCGAAAACATGGATAAATAATTGAGGATGTTTGTTGGATATTAGAATGAGATTATCTTAATGGAACTTTGTGCTCAGTAGTTAATTCATATGGCTTATACAGGGCAAACTGTTAATTATAAATTTTAACTAGCCCATTTATCTGAAGTTTGGGTTAATTTGATTGAGGGCCGAAAAGGTATATACAAAAATTTAGGTAAAAAACGTAGGAAAATTTTTCTTCTTGTAGCGCCATTTCCCTATACTTGAGAACCAAAATTATATATTGGTTGAAAAGTTGAACGACTAGTTTATGGCCTAGCAACTACATCTTTGTTTTCTTTGCTGGAAAAATAAAAGGACTTCATAACATAAGGTGAATTCAAGATGAAGAAGTCCTTTTTTTCTTGCAGACACCCAAAATAACACTTTTGGACTTTGATAATAGCTTCCACACATTCAGTTCAATACAAGAATTTATGGTATAATGAACAGAATCCTCACAAGCATCCCCGTAAGAATGCAAAAACTCCTTCCACAAGTTCAAGCGAAGATTATGAAATTTTAATCCAGTCTCAACAGTTGGGAATAGCAAAGATTTACTCAAGGACCTCTTGATCCCATTCTTCGAATTTAATACATGAGTTCTCTAAGAAGACAGCCCCCTACTTTCCAGAAGAATTCTACTTTCTGATTGGGTAACATCATAAAAGACCTCTATCTGTGACTAATGTTAATCTGAAAAAAGTTCCTTCTAGGCTCATCAAGGATCTTGTGCTAGTCATATGAAGAAACTTTTTCCCAGACAAAACCAAAGTTTACCCTTATTAACCTCAACATCTATATGAGCAATAGAAGTTTCACAAATCAACAAATAGTGCTTTAAAAAGTGTGCCTCGTCAAAGAGTCTCCCTGCAGCTTCACCTTCTTTTAAAAAAAAAAACTTTTACAGATAGATGAAGATATATGCTCCAAAAACCCTCATTTCTCCAAACAATCTTTGACAAAAGCTTTTAATTCTATACTTTTTCATAAATCACAAATTTATTTACATTTTTTATCATGCACCTCAAAAAACCTTGTACACAATTTCTTCTGTTCACTGACGTCTAGACTTCAGCCAAAAGGAAATATGTTCACGTAGAACACTGAACAAGGGGTAAAAAAAAGACAAAAAATCGTCATCAGGAGTTCTGAAATGCAAGTACAGTTATCAAAATACACCATAACGCAATTTGAGTCAAATATTTTCAAGATAATTATGCTAAAAACAACAATTAGGGCTCTTTCATGTAACAACTTGCTTTTTGTCTTTTACACCTTTGTATTGACTGCTCAACCCTCCTTGACTTATTCTGTTTATACTTACACCTTTGCAAGAGCCAGTTACATGAAAAAATAAAAATAAAAAATTAACAGTCAACATTCAGACAATGCACCTGCTTCTTTCCTTGCTTTGAGAGACCTAGTTGAGTGAGAATATCCTTGAGCTCTTTTATTCGAAAATAAGCCAATTTATCCTATAAGTGAAAATGAAAAACCACAAGCAGAAGTCAAATTAGTAGCATTAAAATTTCTTCATAAGATTCAGATAGATGAAATAAAATCTAGAGCAAGGAAGAAAAACGATATACTTTGTCCAACCAAAGTTACAACTTACAACCATCTAAAAATCCCAATAAATTATTAAAACCAACTTAGGAGTTGCTTTGATGATGAATAAGAAGTTTGAAAACTTCTTATTCAAGAAGAAGACAAACCAGCATACAGAAAACTAAAGTGACAAAAGTAACTTTTGGACTACTAAGACTACATCAAATTAGAAGCAACAATCAATCTATCATCTACAGCAAGAGAGTATGCTTCATTTTATTAGACCACAGCGCTAAATGTTAAAGATACTACACTGACAAGAAACAGTAAAACATAAAATACATCAAAGTTAACAAATAAGACAAATAAGAGGCCATGTGCTTTAGAAAATATCCAATTTGAAGATAGACAAGTAGAATGTCATCATCCTCTTCTTAAATAGATAGATAATCAATTTATGGATCTCTTCTCAAAAAAAAAAAAAAGAAGGAAAAAATAATATTTATATATATATACGAGACAGCACGGAAGACTTCATTCACTCTTAAGAATTTCATTGTCATAATTATTTGTGGTTGGATATAAAACCAGGACTACAATCATAAACGTGTTCAATACTTATGCTATACAAGATCAAAGTCTTGTTCTAGATGAGTTGCACTCAGTTTAAGTTGAAATTAGAATTCTTCTCTTCTCAACTTTGCAACCCTATGCTGCATTGTAATATAAAATAACCTACAAAGGGGATGCAGATAAATGAGTAGAACAGTTAGATGGTACGGTACTATGAGTACCTAATCAAACAACACAAATTTTTTGCCAAATACCCAATAGGCGAAAATCCTTCTACAATTTTTTTTAATAAAAAATAAAAATAAATAAGTCCCACTAACTTCCTATGATCTCTTGGTTTAAAACTAAAGGCTCGTCTAATCAACAGCAGGTTATATTTGATAGGAAAAAAAACTAGTTCAAGAATAAACCATGAGAGATGGGAGCTTGAAAAACACAAACACTCAATAGGCTGACAACTTCATTGAATTCAAGGAGATTTTAACACTGTTCAGCGATCACAGAAAATATCCAGCGTATATGAAGAAAGATGTAACAAACGAGTTACAACAGTCACAGCCCGATCATCTCAAGCAAACAGAAAAGAAAGAACCAAAGGTCAGGTATATATTTGAGAAACTAAGCTAGAGGAGCAAATCTCCCCATGTAAATATCACACGGCATTTGGCCAGTAAAAATCCACATGAACATTACATTACACCAACAAAATCCTGGACCAAACCAAGTAACAGGTAAATGAGCATCCACAAATTCAAATTACTAGTCACTAGAGTAACAACATACATTGAAACAATCCAACTTGAACTAAAGACCAACATTAACAAGTACCTTGCAATTAGCAACCAAGTCCATCCTTTCCAAGTAACAACCCACAAAATCCCTAACGATGGTGTGCCAAAACGATGATTTTAACAGCAACTCAACACAAACCACCAACACATGGCCCTCAGAGCTGCGATTATTCTCATCAAAACAACCAAAAATGACAACAAACACAAAACAAAATCAGATTCCCATATAAAATCAAGCATAATTAATCAACAAAAAAAAACACACACACACACAGTTGAACAGACGGCATAGAAACAGATTGCAAATTTACCTAAAGGAAAATTAGATTTCTACGAACTGGATGAAGAATTGAAAGCCGTATATTGATGTACCGAAGCTCGAGTCGCCCACGCCGACCTCCCCCCACCCCCCCTCCGGCGACTCTGTCCTCAAGCGCTAGTGTTTCTTTTTGACCGAAATCCCAACCAGAACCAATCCCCTCCAATTACAAAGTGCGGACCTATCGACGATTATCCATTCCGATTTTTTAACGGAGAACATGTCCGGGCCGGGATACGCTGTACTCATGTGTAACTTTTCACTAAGTTAACTCGAATCATTTATTATATTCGATCCACTAAACGGTCCAGATTTCATAACAAGGTGGAGAAGAATGGTGATGATTGTGCCACCTCATTACATTTCTATAGATGCCGTACTGGCGATCTTTCCTCAAGAAATAAATCGGTACCAGATCAAAAACCCGGCAAGCAGACATTTTCCAGTCAAATAATCTTTTTTTTTTTTCCAATGAAATAGTATTTTTCACCAAAAAGAAAAAAAGAAAAAAAGAAAAATCATTATTATCTTGAATTTTTACCACCGACTATGTAGGTAAATAATTTAGGGTTGCCCTAGGATTTTGTAAAAAGATTAAATTTTTAGAAATTAGGGTTAGTCTAGGTTAGGGTTTAGGAATTTTTTTTTATATTCATTTTAATGGTTATAGTAAATTTTATTTTATTTCTAGCTTGTTTTAGACCTCAAATATTTATAGTGATTTTGTTTAAATTTTTGTTGGAAAATAATAAATATCTTTTTTAAAAAAACTTCCACCTACTTTAATTAGTAAAAAAATAAAAATAAAAATAAAACCATGTAAATATATTTCATACTGAAAAATTGGTAAATAACTAACTAAGAATATTAATTAAAGATGTCTGTGGGACGAAGTAGGGACGGGATGCCTTTTCAGTCTCATCTCCGTACTCGTCGTCATCGTAAAATTCTCAATTCAATTATGTAGAAATCGGGAGGAGAATTTCCGACAAAGAATTTGTAGAGATAGATTCCTTCCCGAGATTTATTTTTATTTTTTATTCAATTTTCTAAAAATATTAAAATTCAAATTATTCATTTATTTTTAAATTATCCTTAATTAAAATATTTTTGAGGCTATTGACTTTAGTATGGTCTAGTCTTTTTAAATATTATCTTTTTACCTAACAAACAATAGAGGGTAGCAAGCAACTTTGCTTAGATTTTGAAACGGTCCGTGTTTTTTTGTCTACAAAACTTCATTATTATCTATCCTAATTTATCGTGTCATGCCATTAGACTCACAATGATTAAACAAGCTAAACGTTACGTAAAGAAAGAAAAATATTAAACATAGTTAACAAGGTTGATATCGACTCAAGTATAACTCAATTAGTTAAACTGTTCGAAGTTTTATTTTCAAAACTCTATCTCTTCTTTTATTTCTTACAAATTTATAACCATTTATCTTCTTTTTCGTTTTTGCACCAAGATTGTTCATCGCTCACCATCAAACTGAGGACCCAACTCAACTTGAACCGGAAATATAATGGTTGGGTTGGGTTGGTCTAATTGGGTTATCCTTGAGAATAGACCAACCCAAAAAATTGAATGGGTCCAAAAACTCGAACTATGTTCTTTGGAACTGTTTATACGAGCATTATTGGCACCAAGAAAAAACTTTTTGCTTCCATTCATCATAGCTGATACAATCGCTTGTTCTGGATGAGAAACGAGTGAACACTGTTGGATGATGAAAGTCTCACATCGGCTAATTTAGAGAATGACCATGGGGTTATAAGTGAAGAATACTAACTCCATTGGAATGAGGCCTTTTGGGAAAGTCCAAAGCAAAGCCATGAGAGCTTATGCTCAAAGTGGGCAATATCATATCATCGTGGAGAGTCGTGTTCATCTAACAAACACAACCAAAAACATACTCTAATATTTCTCAACCTTCACAGAAAAGAAGTCAAAAGTATCTTTACCAACTCATATGTATGTGAGAGTCTCTATATCAAATGATGTGCTCATTGTCACAACCATACTATGAAAAGAGTAGGTCGTGACCCTCGTATCGAGTCAAGCAAAGCGGCAACTCTCAAGAGGTGCTCATTCAACTACGCGAGGGCGAGTATAGAAGAATGTCAAGATGCACTCATCATACGAGACAACCATTTAACCTTACTTCACTTGGTTGCCAAAAAAGGTCGTAGGATATTAAAGAATATTACATTATAAGTAAGTTCTAAGAAACATGAACACAAGGACCGTTAGACACGCCCCAAAAAGACAATATCTGTTAGTTGTAGCTAGGCCGTTACAATGTCAGTCATCAGGCTGAGTAAGTGTGAGCTGCATTATTAGTCGTTGATGCTTTACGAACTTATCCTACATCAGTTGGAGAGTATCAACCAAATCTCCAAATTCAAATTAATACACATTGAGCTAGAAAGATGTAGTCCTTTGCATGCACGTTCATCCCTTCCAAGTAACAACCCAACACCCAGCACCAATTCATTGTCCTCAAAAGCTACAATCCGACTCATCAAAACAACAAAAAATGAAAGCAAAACCGAGCATTTAAAAAGAACATATTGTTCCAATTCGATAGCATAAAGAAATCTTAACTCTAGAATAAAAACAAGTTCATATTCGAAATATTTTTCTCTTCCAATATCTTTTCATTGGAGCGTTCAGACGTGAATCATGTTTTAATAAGTTTTAATATGCAACATTAAGTAGTCTCGGTTTCTCGATCTAAAAAGTGCATTGTTAAAATTAAGATGGAACACCACGTGGATTGAAATTCAAGAATTGTCATTACAGTAGCTGGGAATAAGATCGTTCATACCGACACTAACCATTATAAGATAAATTTTATTTACGTATTCTTTTATTTATTTTTTTTTAAACATTATATTTGAAAGATCGCAAATCTATACCTAATTGATTTGAGTGCTAAATCAGCCACTAAAACATAGAGGAAAAATCAAATAATAATAATAATAATAATAATGGGATGCGAAATATTTTAAAAAATTATTTTTTATTCTTTATATGGTCACCACAAAACAATAATATAGCCTTCAAAGTTTGGGACAAAATAATTGAATTAATAGCAATGTCCAAACACGACTTTAAGGAAATAAAATTTAATACAAAGTTAAAACAAATAACATTACATTATTAATCAATATAAACCAAACAATTTTTTGGAAACTTTCATGTAAAAATCAACCACTATACTTTTATAAGCTCTTGAATTAAAAAAATATCCTTAAAATAAATTAAAAAAATGTTAAAAATACTCTTAATTTAGATTTGGACGAAAAAAGTTCGGAATGTTAGACGAACACGACTCTCCACAATGGTATAATATTGTCCACTTTGAGCATAAGCTCTCGTGGCTTTGCTTTGAGCTTCCCAAAAGGCCTCAAAGCAATGGGGTTAGTATTTCTCACTTATAAACTCATAAGCATTCCCTAAATTAGCCGACGTGAGACTTTCATCATCCAACCAGGAATTTAAGTAAAAAGTATCAATGCTAATTTTAAAATTTAACGAGTATTTTTTGAATTGTGTTTTATTTTTTTATTTTTAAGTCAAAGGGTATTAATAAAAAAAATTAAATTAAAAGTTGTTATTTTTTAAATTCAAATGGTTATTTAAAATCATATTATATATACATAAACATTATTGAAAATAAAAATCAAGGAAGTTTTTTAATTATTATACTTTAAATTTTATTAATTTAGACATCTTAAAAGATACTGAAAAAAAAATCACTTTAATTTTGAGGATTTTTTTTTTTTTTTTTTTTTTTT